TCCTGGAGGTGAAGGAGTACTATGGTGTGTAAGCCACTTTTGTGTATGCCATAGAAGGTGAAAAAATGAAGAAATAGCTCTTTGTCATTCTGTAGGCTAAGCTGTTTTTCTGGTATCAATATGTTAACTAGGAATTGTTTCTACACCTAGTGAACAAACCTTTATCAACAGCTAGTGAATAGCTGCAATTTAGACCAGGGGGAAAAAAAAAATATATAAACCTTTTGCTAGTACAATGTCTGTCACCTAAGGAAATGATATGGATAGAATTTTTGTTAGGAGTCTCAGCTCCATCAGGAGTTGTTGGTGTAACTGAACTGACACAGCTTCCGCAGTGTAGATTAGCCGTCTACTTTCTGGCTTTGCTTTAGTCCTAGATTAGCCTGTTACATGGCCCCTGCCTGCTTTTAACTGGAAAAGTTCAAATGTGACTATGCATTCTTGGCTGGAGTGACATTTTTAGTGGAGCATGACTATAAAGTTACAGTAAGTTATGTACTTGCATGTTTTATTTTCTTTAGAAAAAAGGATTCAAACTGCAACTGTAGTGAGTGCATGTTTAAAGCACATGCATCCGAGGTATTCGGTAAAGCAGAATGCTCCAAGTGATGAATAGCGTTGATGCTGGGTTCACGTTGCTAAAGTCACCATCTGAACGGTGACTTTAAACTTATGAGATACTTGGGAATTTGTCATCATTGACTCAAGCTTAGTTAGGAAAGTGTTAAAAAGTATTTGGGGGGAAATAGTAAATGGTGATTACCATCGTTTAGTAGTCATTTTTCACCAGTTTGGAAAATGTATTTCTTGAATGGCTGGAGCTTGAAGACGGATATAAACGGGCAAATCACTGAGCACTAGCAGAGAGAAATGGTGATAGTAGCCGTTGCTGCGATGCCTTCAACAGCTCAGAGTAGTGTGAAGGAGAAAAATGCTTGTTCTTGTTGTAAGTTTGTTTAATAAAGTTATTTAAAGAATGAGAAATGGTGGTAGTTGTCATGATACGTGTGCGAGGAGGGAGGATTTTTTGTTCTGTTTCCCCAGTTTGACTAAGTCTGTCCAGCTCTTACTCTGTCAAAAACTTTGGAGGACCCCAAACTGTTGAAATTGCGTAGTTTTCTGGGATTTAGCCACCTGAGTTTTATGTGTAATACAGAGTACACAGGTGAAGTCAAGAAGTATGTCACTGGCAGGCACGTGGGGCATCAGGAGAAACAGGCTACCTCATACAGTGTATAGCTACAGCAAAATAATTTTCTAAGGCTAACAAAGATCTTTGCTTTCCTG